GGTCTATTCCCTTGTGGACCGTCCGAAAGGACGGAAGGTTATCAGATGTCGCTGGGTCTTTGACCAAAAATCTGATGGCCGAAAACGTGCCCGCCTAGTTGCCAAGGGTTTCAGTCAAGTCGAAGGAGTTGACTATGACGAGATATTCTCTCCTGTTGTCAGGTATGAGACGTTCCGGTTGGTCATGGCGCTTGCAGCGCTCAATGATTGGCATTGGTCTGGACTCGACGTCAGTAAGGCTTTTCTCTACGGAGAGCTTGACGAAGAGGTCTACATGGAACAACCCGAAGGCTTTGTGGCGAGAGGCCAAGAGCGCAAAGTCATGCGCTTGCACAAGGCAATCTATGGACTCAAACAAGCTGCTTTAGCATGGTGGAAAGCGCTGACCAAGTCCACGAAAGCCATGGGCTGGATCCGACTAACATCGGATGCCGGCGTGTTCTTCTACAAGGACTCTGATGGCAGCATAGCCGTCATAATAGTCTATGTGGATGATGCTCTGTTCTTCTCCAAGAACAAGAAGCTCCTCGCCTTTCTCAAGGCTGAGTTCAACAAGCGATGGGAATGCCGCAATTCTGAAGATACTCCAGAGTTCTTGCGCGTGCGCCTCAGTAGAGTAGGATCTTCGATCAAGATTGATCAGATTCCTTATCTCGACAAGGTGCTAGAGCGCTTTGGGATGCAGAACGCCAAGTTCGCAGCGACCCCTCTACCGGCTGGATATGTTCCAATGCCAAATGAGGATGAAGTCGATCCAGAGCTCAGGAAGAAATTCCAATCAGTCATTGGATCTCTTCTCTTCATCATGCTAGGCACACGTCCTGACATTGCATTTGCTGTGACCAAATTGTCACAATTTGCTGCCAATCCGTCCCAAGACCACCTCCATAAAGCGCTGTATATCTGTCGCTATTTGGCTGGTACTAGGAATTATTCGCTCATTTTCAATGGTGCGACGGATAGAGGGCTCATTGCATTTAGCGATTCAGACTGGGCTGCTGATCCGATCAAGAGGAGGTCTACCACTGGTTTCTTCACGAAATTGGCAGACGGGATTATTTGCTGGCAGTCTAGGCTTCAGCGCACTGTCGCGCAGTCTTCGACCGAAGCAGAGTACATGGCGATTTCAGATTGTAGTCGCCAGGTGATGTGGCTGAAGAGCGTCCTTTCGGAACTCCAGTTCAAACTCACCATCCCAGTACCCATTTGCGGTGACAATCAGGGTGCACTCTTCAGTGGCAGCAATGCCTACCGAGACCGCAGGATGAAACACATAGACATCCGCTATCACTACATTCGTGAGCGAGTCGAGGAAGAAGAGGTTGAACTGTTCTTTATTCCGGGCAGTGAGAATCCTGCAGATATGTTCACCAAGAACCTAGGACGCGTCAAGTTCGAGAAGTTCAGGTCCCAACTAGGACTTGAGTTCAACTCGTCCTGAAGGAATGGCCGATGAAGATTTCGCTTTCAAACACTATCCTGTGGTTTTCAGCGTGGGGGAGTGTTGATCAAATGATGATCTTATCATCTGCCAGATGGATGTCGTGATACACATCTTATGACTCCATCACGTGTCATCTAGAGTCATGTCGACTCGTCCTAAATAGACACAAACAGCCCCCTGTATCATATATAAGGAGGGCTCTATTACCCTTTAATACAAGTCTCTTGACTACTCCCGCATAGTGCCCACACTAAGCTCTCAACTCACACAGGAGGGTTGCTAGACGCTCTCCCCAGTGCTCAACAGTTCCCTGGCCCCATTGTCTGGCGCTTCCATTGTGCTTGGTCATCCATTGTTCTGTAGGCTATATATAGTGGGCCCTGACAAGGAGAGTCCCCAACTCGGTTTCTCTTTGGACTCTCCCTTGTCAGGTTTGCCAGTCTCCTGTACTAGTCGATCCCTTTATCTGACACTTTGGACTCTCCCTTGTCAGGACTCTGAGATCGGGCCTCGAGGTTGCCCTTACAGCAGAAACCGAGTTCCTAGGGATAACTGGGCAAGCTTGTGAAGACTCGTCGACCAACCACTCCTCGCCTTCCAACTTGTCCCCTCCTCCCCCTCTATGATTATCATGTCCTACATGGAGGACGAGGCCCACACCCCTACCCCCGAGCAGCAACTCGGTAATCTGGAGGAATCCATGCAACAAATGGAGGGACTTCTTGACAGTCTCCTCCGATCACAGGTACAACCTCCCCCTGCCCCTGCCCCTGCCCCACCTCCGGCAGCGGTGATAGGCTGGCTACCAGACGCGCTCTGCACCAACTCTGTAAGGGCGTATTTTTGCGCTTTTTACAGAGTTTACTCTTGAACCACTCGGTGTATCGTGTCGCGGTTGACAGTGTTGCGCTCAGTAGGACTTAAGGGTCTACTGCCCAGTCGACGACTGTGGATAGTGTCGACGATAGCAAGGCAGTCAGATCACTACTGTGGAACTGGTCTTATGAGTCTACACCAGGCTCAGGGCCATTAGTGACGAACGCTTGGACCGCGACCATTCCCCAGAAAGGGATCTGTCGTTGCGTCGACTTCTCAAAAGGGTCATTCTCTGCAGATGGGAACTTGGGCTGAAGGGCTGAGCAATGTGCGACGTTCTCAATAATAGAACTACTACTGGACAGGACTTGGCGTTACGAGACTTAAACCATCTTGTCGCGGCAACTCCCGGTTTTGAGTTGGACGTTTCCTCAGATCATGCCACGACGACGACTTGTCACATGTCAGGATCCATTCGATCACGGGACATTGTGGACGCGTCGCGGTGACACTTCCAAGTGTCACGGCGAGTCGCGCCCATACCCAAACACACTAAAACCAACACGGCTAGATCCGTGAACCGAGCCATGTGGGAGACGACTGGCGTGCCTAGGGCCATACGGCTTCTTGGGGCGCCCACGTTGGTCTCACTTGCCAAGACATACCCGTTGGCCAATCCAGCACGTCGTATTCCAAAGTATGACGCGGTGGGTTGACCCACATCAAAAGTATCATATGGACAATGGGGCGGGGTCCTGATCACTCAGGACCTGTCCGATCATTCAACTTTTCAATTACCCTAAAAGGCAACCGATCTTAGATAGCGTAGCTACTATGCAGTTGTACAGGACTTTACTAAGCATCGTCGTAGACAGTATAAGTAGCACGACGTTTCTTTGTATTAGAGAGCTTTCCCCCGGACTGTGAATCACTATCATTTCAGATTGTTTTGTACAATTTGCGTGCCGTGTGATTCCACCCTAAGAAGTTCTACTACCCCTGCCCGGTTGCGACGAGTTGCTCCCTGAGCACTTGTAGCTACTGTGATTTGAGTTTGAGTTGAGACATCAGAAAGTCGGATTCGCCGCATCTGGTTTAGTCGCGGCATTTAGTGTCGTCGCCTTTGGGCTTTGTTGAGATCGTTCCACACCTCTAGCTTGGCAGTGCGTCGACTAGTGGTGCTCGGGTTGTTTTGGTCAGTTGGCAGTGCGTCGACTTGAGAACTTTGGTTCCACACTTCTTGCTTGGCAGTGCGTCGACAAGTTGTGCTCGGGTTTTGGACATTGGATATTGGCTGTTAGTTGGCAGTGCGTCGACGCGGCATCTTGGTTTACTAGTTGGCAGTGCGTCGACTCAGTACTTTTGGTTGTGTCAGTTGGCAGTGCGTCGACTTGACATTTTGGTTCTACTAGTTGGCAGTGCGTCGACTCAGTATATTGGTTGCATTGGTTGGCAGTGCGTCGACTTGATATTTGGGCTTTGCGTCACCATCTAGACGCTGTCGCTACAAGGGATCTTAATACTTCGTATTAAGTTCTGACTTGTTATATTGTTTGTTTGTGGATTGGATTAGTGTTGGTTGTGTTCGTATAGAAGATATTGGTTGAGATACCATTGTTTGCTATATATAAATTCTTGTCGTCGACTTCGCCTCCGCGACTATTGGACCTGTGTCTATTGAGAGTTGTGATACTGGTGCTCTGTCCACCCCGAAGCCCTCGCATCTTTCACACACTGAGAAGCTGATTACGAGGAGTGTGAACGTGTTTTATATTTGGGTTTACTTTCATAGTAGATTCACTTGTGAGCACGCCCTCAGCATTTTCATCTGGAGCCCACCGCGAGGGGCTTCTAAAGTTTCATAAACTTTAAAAATCAATAAACCGGATTCTTTACCGCGACGTCGGATAGAGACCAAGGGTTTATCCCGCGAAGCAGTTTATTTCGATCCCAAGCTCCTGCGCGACCTCTTGAGGACCAAGCGGAGATTGAGACTGAAGGAAACGCTTCAACTTCAGGACCTTTCGAAAAACTACGAAGGTCTGCAAGACATAAAACACCTTTGTATCTACCACCCTTGCCCTCCAAGGCAAAAGGAAAACAAAGAGTGGATTCGACGTCGAAGCTTCCAGCTTTAGACACAGCTACTTCGAGTTCGACGACAATCAGTCGATCTCAGACTAGCTCACAAACCCTCTCAGAATTGTCTAGTAGCGTCACCGCTACAAACACGAATTCTAACAACATCCCTACTTCCCCTGTGACTTCAGTCGCGACAACTATGGCTCCAAAGACTGGGTTCAAAATCCCTCAACCTTGGGACACAAGTAGACCTATACTTGATGAAAAGGATCCCCTGTCGATTGAGGCATATTTGCGTCACTGCGCGCAGATCGTGGAGGATGGTGGCATCACAGATGACAAACAAGCAAAAAGCATGTACACCCGTTATTTGCCATCGCGGCAAGTGATGGACGTATGGGAAGGTCTCGATACCTATTCCGACGACACAAAAACTGTCGCGGAGTTCGAGGCCGAAATATTAAAAGGATACCCTGAGGTGTCCAAGCGAAAAATGGGGACCATGGCAGATCTAGACAGACTCTGTCGCGAGAACCGTGGAATCAAGATAACGGATGAGGGAGATTTGAAGCGTTTCGGCCTTCAAATGTAGAGTCACTACAAGCGACTGTCAGTCCCTCCTGCCATTATTACCAACAAAGTCGCGTGTGAACGCTACATGCGTACTTTGGACTCTGAGTTCAGTACCGTCTTGAGGAACGCTTTGGCTACGAGTCAAGTATTCAACAAGCGCTACCAAACTCGCGCCGGGATAACAAATGCTAATGTCCCCGCGACTGGAGTCAATCGGCAGGACGACCCCATCCAGCTGAAAGAACTAATGACAATGGCGGAAGAAATGGCGTCGACGTTGAGTAACAAAGACGAAATTCCCATCATCGCGCGACCTCCCAAGGTTCGTTTCGACTATGAGACTAGTCCACCCAACCATGCTAAGGTTGAGGAGTTGGAAAACTCGATTTCCAACTTGAAGGATTCATTTCTTCTACACCAAAAAGAGCTACAGACTCAGTTGCAGGAAGCGTTGAAGACGTTCGTACAGACTGCTCGCGAAGCGCCCATACAGCGGTCGCGGCCAGTAGGCAACAACTCTTCTGTGCCCCACTTCGAAAGTCGCGCACAAGGAGGAGCTGCCGCACGGAACGACGACTGTCGCTACTGTGGACAAACTGGTCACTGGTCGAACGAGTGCCCACTCAAGAGGTCTCACATTGAGAAAAACCTTCTCAAAGTCGACACCAAAGGGATGTGGAGGCTCTTCGACGACAGTTTCCTACCAAATGGAGAAGGGACTCAGGGACAACGAGTAGAGGCTTACTGGAAGAAGAAGGGCAAGTCCGTCAACTTCCAAGACTCCTACTACTTGGATCAGTTCGATAGCCGCGACAATGATGATATGTCCAACTACCCTGAAGAAGTGGCAGATGAGATACGCTCCCTTCGAAGTCAACTCATCCAATATGAGAAGAAGTCGTCGCGGCCAACCCCAGAGAGTCGCGCTGAGCCAAAGACTCAAAGAGCTGCATCTGGTTCAACCAGCAATGCAATGGAAAGTGTCATGGGCCAATTCATGCAGAAAGCCATGACCGACGCCATGGCCGGCTACTTCAACAACATGAACAGTGGTTATCCTCAGACTCAGGAGCAGTTCATTCAAACCCGTCGTGGTGCGAATAGCCAACCTGAGCGCGACAATAAGAACTCGGGTTTCTAAATGGTTCAAGGAAGGGGGCTAAACCTACAAACTCAGCCAAGCCCTCTGAGGACCATGATAAACGAGCTGAGCGACGAGAGAAACCGAGAAAACCTGTGATTATTGAAGAAGTTAGTGATAGCGACGATGATGAGGAATCAGTGCGCGACAACGTCGAAAAGAGAAAGGAACTACCGTTTGAGAAAGTCAAGCCCGTTCTACAAGAACCAGTACATTCTTCAAAAGCGCGCGTTCCAGATAAATACCAGTTGCGTGCACCGATTTAAACGAAGGCTGTAGCAGAAGCAGTCTACGACAAAATGAAAAACGCGTCAGTCGACGTCACTGTGGGTGAACTCCTAGCAGTTTCGGGGACTGTCCGCGACTCCATTCTGAAGGACTCTTCGAAGAAACGAGTACCGGTTCAGAAGTCCATGCTTCAAGAAACTGGTCGCGTCGTTGAAGACGTTTGGGATGGAGAGCTGAGCTACAACCTAGTCAGTGCTAAGGAATTGCCTGAGCCCGTGTTCTATCATAACACAGTTGAAGGAGAAATTCCCATTGGTGCAGTTGTCGCGACGGACCCATATGAGATGTACTTGGAGTCGATACCCTCTAATGAGAACCCAAGACATGTCTATGTTGGTGATTCGTCGGCTGCTCTCAGAACAATAAACGGACGGATTAACGCGCGTCTCGACGCGGACTGCATCCTAGACAGTGGATCTCAGATTGTATCGATGGCTTTCTCAGAAGCCGTCGACGCACAATTGAGCTGGGATCCAAAGGTTGTCATATATATGGAAAGCGCAAATGGATCTATCTCTAAGTCACTGGGATTAGCGAGAAATGTACCCTTCAGGTTTGGGACCATCTTGGTCTACCTGCAGGTGCACATTTTGGAAAGTCCAGCTTATAAGGTGTTGCTCGGCAGACCGTTTGATATCGCGACAGAAAGCAATATCAAGAACGCGGCCGACGGCAGCCAAATAATCACTATGCGCGATCCCAATTTAAAGACACGTTGTGCAATGGCTACGCAGCCACGTCGTGCCGACGACTTGCCGCGTAACACTAAAAACAACGACGGATCTACCGAACCCTACAGTTCGTCGAAACCGACGACCAGTCCAGACGAACCGAACCCTGAACGGGATTTTCAAAGAGCTTCGAGGAATTGACCAGGTTGAGTCAAGGAGAAGAAGTCGCGGTGACTGTGTCGTTGGGAAAGGATGGGAATGTAGTGTTCGAGGATCTAAGAAAGCCGCGTTCTAGTGGCCAGTTTACCCAAACTGAGCTAGTAGAAGCATATATCTTGTCGTCGAAAGAGGACAAGGAAATGAAGAAAGATGTCGCTGCGTCGACTTTGTTTCATTCATATATGAATGAAAGACTATCAGACGCGGCAACAGAAAAACTGACTGTTGGTACTTGGAGTGTACTAGACGACGACTCTTCTAGTCGCGACAAATACTCTGTGTTCGCAGGAAAGAAATACAAACCTGTGGACCAGAAGGTCAGACCAGTATACACTATGGGTTCTGAGGACGATCGAATAATTCGAGAAATGGTTGGAGATCCTTTGGATACGCTACCTGCTCTGAACCCGCGACCACCTGATTTTACCCCAACTGGTAGATTCACGGCGGAACGCAGGGATATTGTGGAAAAGCTACACAAAGGAGACTTCTTATTACCAGAAGAACGGAAGTTGCTCATGCACTTCTATATGCTTCACAATCAGAGTTTTGCGTTCAATGATGAAGAACGTGGCGCATTAAGACAGGATATATTTCCTCCTGTCAAGATCGCGACAGTTCCCCATACAGCATATCGCGAAGGGAATATTCCTATACCTCGCGGTATGTTCGATCAAGTGTGCAAGGTCATAAAAGACAAAATCGCGGCCCAAGTCTACGAACCTTCCAATTCCTCTTATCGAAGCAAGTTCTTTGCTGTACTTAAGAAGGATGGGAAGAGTATCAGACTGGTGCACTCGCTAGAACCACTCAATGCAATTACTATCGCACATTCAGGGTTGCCACCCGCGACAGAGGAATTAGCAAACCACTTCGCCGGTCGCGCCTGTGGTGCTGCGCTAGATTTGTACTCAGGCTACGACCAGCGTGACATCGATCCAGCTAGTCGCGACTTGACTACATTCCAGTCACCGTTCGGTGCACTGAGGTTGGTCAAGCTCCCACAAGGATGGACCAACTCAGTACCAATATTCCATGAAGACGTTACTTTCATTTTGAAAGACGAAATCCCTCATGTTACTATTCCATACATCGACGATGTACCCGTTCGAGGACCTGGGACCAGGTATCTGTTACCCGATGGAACCTGTGAAACAATTCCAGAAAATCCTGGGATCCGTCGCTTCGTATGGGAGCACTTTCAGAATGTGAACCGCGTCGTACACAGAATCGGCTACTGTGGCGCGACTCTGTCTGGTACCAAGTCGGTGGTTTGCGCCGACGAGTTTGCTGTGGTTGGCCATATCTGTTCGTTTGAAGGTAGAAAACCTGACGCGGACAGAGTTGGTGTAATCATGCGTTGGCCAGACTTGAGAGACGTCTCGGAGGTTCGACAATTCATGGGCACGATTGGGGTCATGCGAATGTTCATTAGAGGATTTTCTGAAATGGCGCGACCAATTCAGAGACTGGTGAACAAGAACGCGCATTTTGAATGGGGTGACAAACAGAAACTCGCATTTCAAAGACTTAAAGACGCGATACAAGTCTGTCCGTCGCTTAAGCCTCTGAACTACGAGTGGGACTCTGAGATTGTCGTCGCAATAGACACATCCTGGATGGCCGCGGGTTTCGAAATCTACCAGCGCGACCCAGACGATCCAAAGAAAGTCTATTACGCAAAATTTGGGAGTATCCCACTTACAGAAAGAGAAGCTAGGTTTTCTCAACCGAAGCGTGAACTTTATGGTGTGAAGCGCGTGCTTCAAGCCATGGCTCACTGGCTTCTTGGTTGTAGGAAATTGGTAGTCGAAACCGACGCGCTGTACTTGGCAGGCATGCTAAGAAACGTTGGTAACCTACCAAATGCGAATATCAACCGTTGGGCTGAAGAGATCCTCATGTTTCAATTTACCTTGAAACATGTCAGAGGAATCACCTTCTCACCAGATGGCTTGTCGCGACGACGACCTGCGCCTGGAGATGAAGAGTATCCCAACGACGAAGAGGAAATCTTCGACGAGCCACCACCAGAGAACAATGAGAATTGGGACTACGACACAGAGCAACCATTAGACTTTGAAGAGTTCAAAAGGGACATTGACACCAGAGGTGGCTACCTTAACTCTATGGTCGGGTGTGCTGAGTCGGTCGACGACATATCCAAAGAGCTAGTCGAAGCTTGCGACTCTCGTCGCGCTGAGAACCGGCGTGTCAAAGACGCGTATGACGCTCAAGGTCTCGTCGTCCCAGTCTTCATGTTGAACGATGTGGCAAACGGAGAACCGCTTTTGCCTGATCTTGAACTGCGCGACAATCCTGAGGATCCCTATATTGAGGATCACAGGACGGGCACAGGGATTGAGCAAGACAATAAGTTGGTAATGGCTAGGAAGTGGCTGAAAGACACTTCCATAAGGCCTGAAATGACAGATAAACGGTTCAGATCGTTTCTCAAATTCTCGTGACAGTTTTTCCTCAAAGATGGAAAAATGTACAAGAGATCGACCAATGGGATTCATAGACTGGTCGTGGACAAGCACCACAGGACTTATATGATGAAGGCGTGTCACGACGCGCTGGGTCATAAAGGTCTTTTCAGCACTAAAAGCCTGTTGGAAACTCGGTTTTGGTGGCCAGAGATGGAAAGAGACGTCGACTGGTGGATAAAGACTTGTCATAGCTGCCAAGTCCGCCAGAAAACTCTCCTCCGCACTCCACCGACGCCGACGATGACTCCAAGTGTATTTCAGAAAATACATACAGATGTCATGATTATGGGAACGCCCTCCAACGGATACAGATATGTCGTCGCAGCAAGGGATTCTTTGACCCGCTACGTGGAAGCGCGACCGCTACAGGCTGACAACGCCAAGGCAATCGCGCGTTTCTTGCTCGAAGACATAGTATGTCGCTGGGGGTGTCCTAAATGGATTGTAACTGACAACGCAGGACAATTTGTCGCGGCGTTGAATTGGTTACAGAAGAAATATGGTATCAAGGGAATAAGGATATCTCCTTACAATTCCCAAGCGAATGGTACTGTTGAAAGAGGTCACTGGGACATTCAGCAGTCACTGTACAAAGCTACAGGGGGAAACGCCTCCAAATGGTTTTGGTTCTTCCCACAGGTCTTGTGGGCAGATAGAATTACAGTGCGTCGCGGGCTGGGTTGTTCACCATACTTCGCAGTATGTGGGGCCCACCCTACCATCCCTCTGGATATAATCGAAGCTACGTGGCTAGTCGAATATCCTGACCGGATCGTCGACTCTGCGGATCTCATTGGTCTCAGAGCACGCGCTCTAGCGAAACACGCCGACCATGTAGAAGATATGCGCAGCCGCGTCAGCGACGCCAAACTAAAGATGGTTCAACGCTACGAACTCGAGTACAAGCATGTGATCAAAGATTACAAGTTTGTGCCAGGGGACTTAGTGTTGGTCAGGAACACAGCTATTGAAAAATCATTGGACAACAAGATGAAAGCTAGATATCTTGGGCCCATGATTATAGTTCGAAAGACCAAAGGGGGTTCTTACTTAGTCTGTGAGATGAACGGCGCGATGTTCCATGCGAAAGTCGCGGCGTTCCGAGTAATACCTTATTTGGCAAGACGGAAGTTGACACTCTCTGAAGATATAAAGAAGCTGATAGATATTTCGCCTGCTAAACTCGATGAGTTGGTGGAGGAAATATCTGACGTCCGCGACTACCAGTTCGAAGGTGTGAAACTCAAGAACTCGGATAGTGACGACGACGACGACCCTGTAGAGGATCCAGCTTCTGTTGAGTGAAAGTCTGGCAAGCAAGTAATTGTCGCGGCAGGCTCTCACAAGACAAGACGTCGCTTCTCTCAGTTTTAGACAGAAGTCAGTATATTGCTTGGGTGCTAGCTGGTACCTAAGGACTATACTGGGTTGTATCTAAAAGAAAAAGGTCATAAAGGAGGTGCGCGAGAAGAAGAGACGCGACTTCATAAATAAATGACAAGAGAGAAAGAGACATATGGAAGGAGAGTGCATATTATGAAAAATTAGGCCGCATTCTTCGACATCGAGAGGTCAATGGCTTCCTTGACGTCCTTGAGCGCGGTCTTCCATTCCTCTAGCCGCGACGAGACGTAGTCGTGTTCCTCGATGAGGAGCTCGAGTGGAATGGACCGCCGCAACCGGTACAATTGATGTCGATGCACTCGGTCCGCAATAAACCTTCGGTCGGACGCGGACGCTGCCAATCGGTTAGCGAAGTGTCGCGACACGAGGATACAACTGCGAGACTCACCCGGGGCCGCATCAGTGGTACTGTTGCTGAGTCGCTGCCTCTTCGAGCCGGTGACAACGAACGATGGCTGGGTAATTGGTCAGAAATGTAGTCGCCGCGACTGAGTGAAACTCACGTCTGGAAACTCTGGAGACAGCTCCCTAGAGCCTCCATCTGCTCCGCGTGAAGTTTCGACATTTTGGCGCTGAGAAGACGCATCGACCTATCGTGCTCGTCTATGAGTCAAATAATAGTCCCATAGACGTCCGCGAGCCCTACGGAGTCGTCATGACCAGAACCGTCGACCGATCGAGAACCGGACCGTCCTGCGACGGTCTTGCGAGTAGATGTTCGCGGGGTCTGAGAATAATCAACCTGTGTTCGGCAAAGACTCAAGACGGACGCACCTTCTCTTGAACAGGAGTGGGGGCCTCCATCTCGACGTCGGAATCAATGTCGATGGCAGGAGTTGAGCCTGAAGCCTCAGGAACAGGGTCTTCGGCCTGTGCAACAATATCCGTAAGAAAATCTGGACAAAGACAGGGAATCATACCTTGGCCTTCCCAGACGACGACGGAGTCGCGGCAGGACGTGGGATGCTCTCCTGAGCTTGTCGCATGCTGATGATCGCCGCGACAAGGGACTCATGCCAGACCAGATAGGCTCGATACTTGTTGACGGCCTTGGTCTGGGAAGGGTCGCGCTGCTTCTCAGGAACT